ACCGTCTCTACACCTGGAGGACAATATTGGGGGGTCTACTCCATTATAACATTTGTCATAAAATTCTATTTCCTGGAGATTTATAAAGTAAAGTGATCATCCCAATAAAAATGATTCCAATAAAGAGAAATGAGTTCCATCCATGTAGAGAATAGTTCCATTCAGAGGAGGGGGGGGGGGGGGGGGGGGGGATTCATTTCCTTCTGGTAACATTCTTCTCTTCTTCTACAGATTGTCCTCCAATCACCTGACAGACAGTTCCTGCCCCCACCTGGCATCTGGAATAAGAAATAACCCGACACTGAGGACACTGGACCTGTCTGTGAACAATCTGGAGGGTCCTCATTTCAGGGATCTGATGGCGGCTCTGACAACAAGCCGGATAGAGGAATTACAGTGAGTATAACAGGACTGACTGAGACAATCATATTCTGGGACAGATTAACATTCAATTGTCTAAATCTTCGGATCTTCTCTAACTCTGTTATCAGCAATAAATTAGACTTTTTATACATCTGGCCATAAGTGGATCAAATATGGACAGGTTTAGTAAGGACCAGCCGAGATCTGACCCATCTATGGGCAGGCTGGTTGTACTGAAGTTGATCCGTCAATCACATTCAGTACAACCGTCCTCTGGGGACTTTTTGCATTCGATCACTGCTGGAGGTCTATAGCAGCTAACAGTGATCAGTGTTCTGCTGGCAGGGAAGGCTTCCTGTTGGCAGAACACAGTTGTGCGGCAGGAGTGATTCCCCCATCCATTCTGACTGTGTTGATGGGGGGGATTGAGCAATTGTCTTTCTTTCCACCCGTAGTGGAAGGAAAGAATATTGTATAGTCTGTAGTAGCTTACTTAAAGCTCCCACACACAGTACAGTCTGATCTTACAATCTTCTTTACCTCCATTGCCTAATTGGATACAAACTGACTGGATACATTGGGTAGGTCCTCATATGATATAAAGTTGTACAAACAGCATAATATCAGATGGTAAACATGGTGACCCTATAGACTATAAAATGTAAACATTAAAGTGTTACTAAACCCACACAACAGTACAATCAGTCTGTAGATGCAGTAAAGCATGCTTGTTATACTCACTGTGGAACCTAAGGGGTTAATCTCTGCATTGTGTATAAAAAGGCCGATTGATCCTTTCTGCTCTGTTCCTCCTTTTTTTCAAGAGACTACCTCTTATCTTCTGATAAGACAGACTGATCTGTAGGCATTTTGCACATGCTCAGTTTAGTGTGTATTGCTAAAGGGGTTTATTTTTTTTTTCCTTGGGAGGGTGAATATGATCAGCACAGGGCCAATCAGCCCTTTCCAGACACAGATCAGGCTGTCTTCTGCATACTCCTAGAGCAGAAAGAAAACGCCTCCTATAAGCTTTAACCAGTGCTCTGCTGGACACTAATAGAAATCAAAAGAGTGCTATAGTAATACTGCTGATGAGAAAAGGTATTTAGCAGTTTATATTTACTAAAATAATTGCATTTCCATGTTCTGTGTACTGTGGAAGACCGGATATATTGAATGCGGGGTCCGGGGAGACAAGATATAGTGAATGAATGCGGGGTCTGGGGAGAGCAGATATAGTGAATGCGGGGTCCGGGGAGAGCGGATATAGTGAATGCAGTGTCCGGGGTAGAGCGGATATAGTGAATGCAGGGTCCGGGGGACACCCACTGAGAGCGGGATATAGTGAATGCAGGGTCCGGGGTTTAGTAACACTACATTTATTTTGGTATCTGTATAAATAGATGATATTAAAGATGCTCATACATGGAGAATCTGATCTTAATGCAATGAGTGATCCAAACATCAAACAAATTCTCTTCATCTTGGCGTGCTATTCAGTTCCGGAAGATCTCCCCATTACTGAACATTTGTTACCTAGCGCCATGACGTCCTATGAGTACATGAGCTCTGATCAGCAGAGATAAATAGAATATCAGATACAATCCCTCCCGTCCAATCACTAGCAATGCTGATTCCGGCCTCACACTGTCTGCTGTTCCCATTCATGCTCCATACACAAGGAGATGATAGCACAATACGAGTCATGTCAGTGGTATTCTGTGCTCATCCTGTGTATGGAGATATCACCGTCTCTACACATGGAGGACAATATTGGGGGGTCTACTCCATCATAACATTTGTCTTATAAAATTCTATTTCCTGGAGATTTATAAAGTGATCGAATATAAATGATTCCAATAAAGAGAAATGAGTTCCATCCATGTAGAGAATAGTTCCATTCATTCCTGGGGGGGGGGGTTCATTTCCTTCTGGTAACATTCCTTTTTTCTACAGATTGCATGATAATCACCTGACAGGCAGTTTCTGCCCCCCACCTGGCATCTGGAATAAGAAATAACCCGACACTGAGGACACTGGACCTCTCTAGGAACAATCTGGAGGGTCCTCATTTCAGGGATCTGATGGCGTCTCTGACAACAAGCCGAATAGAGGGATTACAGTGAGTATAACAGGATTATTTAAATAAAACCACTTCCTAAATAAATATACAAATTCAACTCCTCCACAGCACAATCACCACCTTCACCCCTGAAGATATGTAAAATAATATAATACAGAAAATGCTACTAAGTAGTTGGAAACTCCTCAATAACACACTACAAGTGAAGTCCAATCCCTAATAAGTCCACAAAATATAAACCATAGCCTTCCGGTGTAATCACAGTGAAAAATTGTGTCCAAAGGAAATATAAATCCTTCCAACGATTTCCACGATAAATGTCCCCTCAAAAAAAGAAAAACATCACATAGTGCATTATCTTTTATAATCTACATATAAACATGTGACATCACTCAAGTGAGTATCCCATCAAAACTTTGCAGTGAAAAATAGTGAAAAAGTGTAAAAAAGAACTGTGAATGAAACGGTGAAACAACACTCTGTGTGTGAATCACTCTTCAGTGCCCAAACACAAGCCAACACAGTGTACACTTCTCATTATAGTAAGCAGTGGGTACCCTTACCAACAATCCCAAATAATCACGCCTATAATATAATCCAATAACTGCTGAGAAATGGCCCCCCTGTAGATCTCCACACGGCCTATACAGTCTCCATGGCACTACCTGGATTCATCAGCCATAGTACTCCATGTGTCCCCATACACCTCTTGGACACCACCAGTCCAGTCAACCAGCTGGATTGGAGTGGAGTCTCCCTCTGGTGGTGGCCAAGAGGTGTATGGGGACACATGGAGTACTATGGCTGATGAATCCAGGTAGTGCCATGGAGACTGTATAGGCCGTGTGGAGATCTACAGGGGGGCCATTTCTCAGCAGTTATTGGATTATATTATAGGCGTGATTATTTGGGATTGTTGGTAAGGGTACCCACTCCTTACTATAATGAGAAGTGTACACTGTGTTGGCTTGTGTTTTGGGCACTGAAGAGTGATTCACACACAGAGTGTTGTTTCACCGTTTCATTCACAGTTCTTTTTTACACTTTTTCACTATTTTTCACTGCAAAGTTTTGATGGGATACTCACTTGAGTGATGTCACATGTTTATATGTAGATTATAAAAGATAATGCACTATGTGATGTTTTTTCTTTTTTTGAGGGGACATTTATCGTGGAAATCTTTGGAAGGATTTATATTTCCTTTGGACACAATTTTTCACTGTGATTACACAGGAAGACTATGGTTTATATTTTGTGGACTTATTAGGGATTGGACTTCACTTGTAGTGTGTTATTGAGGAGTTTCCAACTATTTAGTAGCATTTTCTGTATTATAACAGGACTGACTGAGACAATCATATTCTGGGACAGATTAACATTCAATTGTCTAAATCTTCGGATCTTCTCTAACTCTGTTATCAGCAATAAATTAGACTTTTTCTACATCTGGCCATAACTGGATCAAATATGGACAGGTTTAGTAAGGACCAGCCGAGATCTGACCCATCTATAGGCAGGCTGGTTGTACTGAAGTTGATCCGTCAATCACATTCAGTACAACCATCCTCTGGGACTTTTTGCATTTGATCACTGCTGGAGGTCTATAGCAGCTAACAGTGATCAGTGTTCTGCTGGCAGGGAAGGCTTCCTGTTGGCAGAACACAGTTGTGCGGCAGGAGTGATTCCCCCATCCATTCTGACTGTGTTGATGGGGGGATTGAGCAATTGTCTTTCTTTCCACCCGTAGTGGAAGGAAAGAATATTGTATAGTCTGTAGCTTACTTAAAGCTCCCCACACACAGTACAATCTGATCTTACAATCTTCTTTACCTCCATTGCCTAATTGGATACAAACTGACTGGATACATTGGGTAGGTCCTCATATGATATAAAAGTTGTACAAACAGCATAATATCAGATGGTAACATGGTGACCCTATAGACTATAAAATGTAAACATTAAAGTGTTACTAAACCCACAACAGTACAATCAGTCTGTAGATGCAGTAAAGCATGCTTGTGATACTCACTGTGGAACCTAAGGGGTTAATCCTCTGCATTGTATAAAAAGGCTGATTGATCCTTTCTGCTCAGTTCCGCCCCTTTTTCAAACAAACAACTCTTATCTTATGATAAGACAGACTGAACCTTACTCATTTTGCACATGCTCAGTTTAGTGTGTATTTCTAGAGGCTTTTTTAGGGGGGGAGGGTACATGTGATCAACACAGAGCCAATCAGAACTGTCCAGACAGAGATCAAGTGTTCTGCATCCTCCTAGAGCAGAAAGAAAACTCCTCCTACAAGCTTTAACCAGTGCTTTGCTGGACACTGATAGAAAATCAAAAGATTGCTATATACTGCTGAGAAAAGTTATTTAGCAGTTTATATTTACAAAAATAATTGCATTTCCATGTTGTGTTTACTATGGGAGACCAGATATAATAAATGCAGGGTCTGGGGAGACCAGATATAGTGAACGCAGGGTTCCGGGGAGAGTGGATATATTGAATACGGGGTCCAAGGAGAGCGGATATAGTGAATGTGGAGTCCATGGAGAGCGGATATAGTGAATGCGACGTCCTGGGAGAGCGGATATAGTGAATGCAGGGTCTGGGGAGAGCGGATATAATGAATGGAAGGTCAAGGGAGAGCGGAGATACAGTCAGGTCCATAAATATTGGGACATTGACACAATTCTAACATTTTTGGCTCTATACACCACCACAATGGATTTGAAATAAAACAAACAAGATGTGCTTTAACTGCAGACTGTCAGCTTTAATTTGAGGGTATTCACATCTAAATCAGGTGAACAGTGTAGGGATTACAACAGTTTGCATATGTGCCTCCCACTTTTAAGGGACCAAAAGTAATGGGACAGAATAATAATCATGAGTCAAACTTTCACTTTTTAATATTTGGTTGCAAATCCTTTGCAGTCAATGACAGCCTGAAGTGTGGAACGCATAGACATCACCAGACGCTGGGTTTCATCCCTGGTGATGCTCTGCCAGGCCTCTACTGCAACTGTCTTCAGTTCCTGCTTGTTCTTGGGGCATTTTTCCCTTCAGTAAGTGAAATGCTCAATCGGATTCAGGTCAGGTGATTGACTTGGCCATTGCATAACATTCCACTTCTTTGGTTGCTTTTGCAGTATGCTTTGGGTCATTGTCCATCTGCACTGTGAAGCGGCGTCCAATGAGCTGTGAAGCATTTGGCTGAATATGAGCAGATAATATTCCCGAAACACTTCACAATTCATCTGTCAGCAGTCACATCATCAATAAATACAAGAGAAGCAGTTCCATTGGCAGCCATACATGCCCACGCCATGACACTACCACCACCATGCTTCACTGATGAGGTGGTATGCTTAGGATCATGAGCAGTTCCTTCTCCATACTCTTCTCTTCCCATCACTCTGGTACAAGTTGATGTCGGTCTCATCTGTCCATAGGATGTTGTTCCAGAACTGTGAAGGCTTTTTTTAGATGTCGTTTGGCAAACTCTAATCTGGCCTTCCTGTTTTTGAGGCTCACCAATGGTTTCCATCTTGTGGTGAACCCTCTGTATTCACTCTGGTGAAGTCTTCTCTTGATTGGTGACTTTGACACACATACACCTACCTCCTGGAGAGTGTTCTTGATCTGGCCAACTGTTGTGAAGGGTGTTTTCTTCACCAGTGAAAGAATTCTTCGGTCATCCACCACAGTTGTTTTCCGTGGTCTTCCGGGTCTTTTGGTGTTGCTGAGCTCACCGGTGCGTTCCTTCTTTTTAAGAATGTTCCAAACAGTTGTTTTGGCCACGCCTAATGTTTTTGCTATCTCTCTGATGGGTTTGTTTTGTTTTTTTCAGCCTAATGATGGCGTGCTTCACTGATAGTGACAGCTCTTTGGATCTCTTCTTGAGAGTTGACAGCAACAGATTCCAAATACAAATAGCACACTTGAAATGAACTCTGGACCTTTTATCTGATCATTGTAATTGGGATAATGAGGGAATAACACACACCTGGCCATGGAACAGCTGAGAAGCCAATTGTCCCATTACTTTTGGTCCCTTAACAAGTGGGAGGCATATATGAAACTGTTGTAATTCCTACACCGTTCACCTGATTTGGATGTAAATACCCTCAAATTAAAGCGGACAGTCTGCAGTTAAAGCACATCTTGTTCGTTTCATTTCAAATCCATTGTGGTGGTGTATAGAGCCAAAAATGTTAGAATTCTGTCCATGTTCCAATATTTATGCACCTGACTGTAGTTAATGTGGGGTCTTAAGAGAGCAGATCTAGTGAATGCGGGGTCCGGGGAGAGCGGATATAGTGAATGCAAGGTCCGGGGAGAGTGGATATAGTGAATGCAGGGTCCGGGGAGAGCGGATATAGTGAATGCAGGGTCCGGGGTTTAGTAACACTACATTTATTTTGGTATCTGTATAAATAGATGACACTAAAGATTCTCACACATGGGAGAATCTGATCTTAATGCAATGAGTGATCATAGCATCAAACAAATTCTTTTCTTTTTTTTTATAATTTAAATATTTATTTTAATTTTCCATTTTAAATACATTTCATCAACACAATGTAGATTATATATATATATAAATATATTCTATAATATTATAATATCCAACATTTCTACTTTATTTACTCTATACAACATTTCCCTCCCGCCTCCACCCCCCACCCCAAATCCCCTCTGCCTATCCTACCTTTTCTCTACATCTTCTTATATCAGCAAGGGAAGTTTTTCTGTTGTTTTCTTTATTCTTTCCTATACTTCATATATAATCTAGCTTTTTTCCCAGTTCTCCCATTTCCCATAATAAGCCTCCATCCTATCTTCTTGGATATGACACAACCTTTCCATCTTTTTGATCTGCTCAACTCTTTCAATCCAGTCCTCTTCCTTCGGTATCTCTATTCGCCGCCAGAACTTGGGTATTAGAGCTTTTTTGCAGCGTTTATATAGTGCCATATCCCTGATTTTTTTATATTTATTTACTGTTATATCCCATATTATGCAAAATACATACTTCTGGATCTAGATCTATATCTATTTTCTGTCAATTTTCCTATCAAGTGGATTATTGTTTTCCAGAATATCTGGATTTTTGAGCATCCCCACCATATATGGTATATTGTGCCGACTTCTCCACATCCCCTCCAACACAGTGGTGAACTCTCTCCACATATCTTATTTTCTACATTGGTGTAATGTGCCATCTTATCAAAGACTTATAGTTTTTATCTCTACTTCTCTCATAGAAACGTTCTCGTGAATTAATCTATACATCCTCCTCTGCTTTTCCGCATTCTATCACAACTCCCATATCCATTTCCCATTTTGTTATATATGTTGGCTTTGTGTTTGTATCTAATTCAGTGAGTATTTTTTATAAACTTTAGTGATCGTGTTTCCCATCACCTTGTGTTCCAATACCTTTTCAAACAAGTTCCAATTATCTCTTGTCCTTAAAGGTTTTTGGCAAACTTCCAACAAAACACCTCAATTGAAAATACCGCAATTCATCTAGTTTAGTGAAGATCTCTCCCTCTTTTTTCTTCAATTCACCAAATGATCCTATTTCATCTCCCACCAAAATATCTCTTAATTGCACCTTGTCTTTTTTTAAACCACCTCCCCTCCTATTTCTTCTCTACCTGGGGGGAAAAACTCTGTGTTTTTTAGTGGAATCAGTGTTGAATTAAAAGTCCATTTCATACTTCTCTGTAAATTATCCCAAAACCTTTAGAACATTCAAAGTGTATGTATTTACATTATCATTTTAAACCCCTATACTGTGTTGGCACCCATATCATTCTTCCCAGGTCTATTCCACTGAGTTCATTCTCTATTCTCACCCAGCTTTTTTTATAATTATATATCCAGTCTATGGTTCTTGCCATTTTTATTACCGCTTTGTAATATTTTTTAAAGTCCGGGAGCCTTAAACCACCTTTTCTTTCCTCCTACTCAACAGTTCGTAAGACAGTCTTGGTTTTTTATTCCTCCATATGTATTTTGTTATCAGTTTTTCTTAATTATTTTATAAAAAATCTCTGGATTTTTAATTGGGATCATTTGATATCTATATATAATTTTTGGTACTATTACCATTTTTACTAGATTAATACGGCCCATCCATGTCGGGGTTCCTCCCTCCAATCTTTGTAACTTCGTCTCTAATCTCATTAATCAGTGTAATATAGTTTAATTTATATAGATGTTTGTTGTGAGGCTGTAAGTTTTACTCCTAGATATTTTATATCTCTGTCTTTCCATTTAAAAGGGAATTCCTTTTGTATTTTTTCTTTTTCATTTTTTAAGATGTTTATGTTTAGTATCTCCGTTTTTGTTGGATTTATCTTTAGGTTTGATAGTTCTCCATATTCCTTTAATGACTTCATTAAATTTGGGAGTGTTATCCGGGGATTTCCTACGTAGAACAGCAAGTCGTCTGCGAAAAGCAGCAACTTTATGTTCTGTATCTCCTATCAGGATTCCCTTTACATCTCTATTCAGCCTTATTGTTGACAACAATGGTTCTAATGATATAACATACAACAATGGGGACAATGGGCATCCCTGTCTTGTTCCGTTTGACATCTCAATGGGTTCTGACCTCTCCCCATTTACCCCAATAACCACAGAAGGGTATCTGTACAGCTTCCCTATCCACTCTCTCATCCTAGGCCCAATCACCTTCCCTCCTCACCTTCAGGCGCTCCCTGAAAACCCACCTCTTCAGGGAAGCCTACCCCACCCTCACCTAACTGCTGCTCTCCTTCATTCCTCCTACCACTCCATCCCCCACAGCCACTTCCTCCTGTACCACTACCCCCTCCCTCCCAGATTGTAAGCTCGAAAGAGTAGGGCCCTCTTACCCCTCGTGTGCTGTTCGTAGCTGCTGTAATGTTTCATGTATTGTCCCCCCCTCTATTGTACAGCGCTGAGCAAACCCTTTGGCGCTATATAAACTCAATGTAATGCAATGTAATGTAATGTAATACCCAAGGCTTCTAGAGTATCCATCATGAATCTCCAATTCACTCTGTCAAACGCTTTTTCAGCATCTATAGAGAGTAACACCACCGGTTTCTTTTCCCTTTTTGCTCTTTTGGATTAACATCAGTGATCTTAACCCATTGTCTTTACCCTCCCTCCCTGGGACAAAACCCACCTGATTTCCTCATGTATCCATTCAGGCATTAGCTCTTTCAATCTATTTGATAGGACCTTTGCATATAACTTAATGTCGTGTTCAATAGTGAAATAGGGTCTATAACTCGAACACTGTGAGGGATCTTTTTCCCTCTTTTTGAATGAGCACAACTTGGGCTTGTAATGATTCTCTTCTTATTTCCATCTCTCCACCTAGTGCATTCATGTAATTTTAAGTTTTGGTACTAAAATTTCACTAAATTTTTTTTATAATATCTCACTGTATATCCGTCTGGTCCCTGGACTTTTTCCCCGACACTGACCCCTTCAATGCTAATTTTTATTTCGTCCTGTGAGATATCTGCTTCTAGGGAGTTCAGTTGGTCCTCGCTTAATTTTAGTAACCCAGCCATTTCCAGATATTTCTTTCTTTTTTGATTCTTCTCACTTTGTATATTTTCTAGGCCTTCCAAGGGGCTTTATATTATACAGTTTCCTGTAATATTCTGTGAAGGCTTTGATATCTTTATTAGAATGCGACATGTTTCCTTTAGCATCTTTTATTTTTTCTATATAATTTCTATTTTTCTTTTTCCTCAGAGCTCTCCATCAGATACTTTAAAGGTCTTTCTCCAATCTTATCTCTCACTCAAAACTCTATTATATACTTTTCTCCTCTCCTCTTCTATCACTTCTTTTTAATTCTTCTTTCTTTTTTTTTTTTAACTTCAGCTCTATTTCTTTTGTTATTCTATTCTTATGTTACCTTTTGTTCTATTTTACTTATTTCTTCTAGGAGGTTACTCATTTTTCCTTTTTTTTTCCTTTTTCTTTCTTGCCCCAATCGCCATTAATATTCCTCTTATGTATGCTTTATGTTTTTTCCCACACTGTGGCTGTTGATACCTCACCTGTCTCGTTCTCCTTAAAAAAAGCGTTCGATCTCCCTCCCCTTTTATTTTGCTGAGCTATTTTCCTTTTCCACTAAAAGTGTCTCATTCAATTTCCATCCCAGCCCTCCGATTTTCCTCTTCCCCATTCCATTTTCATACTAACTGGGGTTTGATCTTTGTTTTAGAGATATTGTTCTTTTTTTCTCTGTTATTAAGATGGTCAATTTTAATTGATGTTCTAATTTTTTTATGGTCTAATCTTGAATATCTCTTATGCATGTTTGAAAAGAAAGTATAGTCTCTATCTTGCATATGTGTAATTCTCCATTGCATCTAACCAATTGACTTATGTGTTAATTTCTTTTTTTCAATATTTTTCAGGGCCCTACTTCCCTCTCTCTTTATATGGAGTGGAGTCCCTTTGTGGTTCCATACGAAAAGTTAAAGTCCCCTGCCAGGATCAAACGTCCTTTTTTAAAGTCCATTCAACTTCCTCAACACTATTTTCAGATACGCCTTCCGGTTTTTTATTAGGGCAGTAGATATTGGCCAGTGTACACTCAATCTCCTGTTAACTTGCCCTTTAATAACAAGAGTATCTTCCATTTTTGTTTTTTTTTCTTTTTTTATTTTATATTTTTTTTTTTCTTCTGTTTTTTTAACCTATTTGCCACCCCTTTTGTTGTTTTTTTAACCGGGGAAATCTGCATTTTTTCCATGTTGGGTTTTTTATATGTTTTTTTGCCTAATTTTTTATTCTTATCTCAAATTGTTTATTTTTTTTTTTTTTAAATTTTTTTTGCTGCCCATATGTTGTGTAACTCTTTATACTAAATTATTTCTTTTTTCCAGGGCAGTTCAACCCATTTTACATTATTTTTATAAACTGAATCGCTTCCCTCTTCCTTAAAAATTTTCCCCTTTTTCTCCCCATTTTATATTTTCCTTTTCCCCTTCCCCCTTTCAACTCCTCTTCCCTCCCATTCCCTTTCCTCTCCCCCTTCCCCCCTTTCTCCCCTTGCTTTTATATCTTTTTTTTATCTTGGGAAAAAAAAAAAAACCCCCCCTCTCCCAAATTTTCCCCCCCTTCCAAAACCCCCCACCTCCCCCCCCCCTCCCCCCTTTTTTTGGAAATTCGCTTTAACCCAATTTCCCTTACCGTGAGTACTCGCAGTTTTGGGTGCGCATTAAAACCCCCTAAGCTGTTTCGAATCTCGTTTTCCACGGGCGCAGCTAAACTAAAAAGATTTGGCCCCCCAAATACTTTTTGGGTCTGTTGAAATGTGGGGGGAAATTTGGGTCCCCTTACCCTGAATTTATTAAACGACACTTCAGGATCGGTT